TAAGTTTATTTTTCAAATTGAACAAACAGTTTGGTATAAAAATATGTGGAGAGTTTTTTCAGATCTTCTTTTTTGTTTTTCTTAAAGGTAATGGGAAATTCTTCAGAATTTCGGAAAGCAGTGAAGCTTGTGATAGACACAGTAACATTTGACACAGATTCAACTGTCCAAGTCTTTGAGGCAACAATTAGGTAGGATGTTGCTGAAATTTGACAGCACTGAATGTGAATAATACATTCAAGGAACCCTGAAACAAAATTTATTCTGCCTGCTGTCTAACTGATGAGATTCACATGATCAGTGTCATAAAATGATGATAAATGATAAAGCAATTCATATAGTTTAATAACTTGGGCTTATAATTAATAATTTATAAATTGTAATATAAGACTAGTTCTTTCAATGCAGCTGCTCATCAAAATCATAACAAAGTGTTGCTCTCCTATTTGGCTCAGTGTTCTCCAATAAGATGGTTCTACCCGGCAACTATGAAATGCAGGATTAAGGGACAAAATCAGAACTTTATGATTAAGAAACACTTAATCTTGTTTTGAATGGATTTAAATCTCCAAGAATGCATGGATTATATTCCTAAGTACTGAAGAACCTTGCTGATATTCTGCCTGAACTTTTACGTAATCTTTGAGAAATCTTGTAGAATGAGCAAGGGGAATGTAATTCTTACCTTCAAAAAGGTGATAAGGGAACTGGAGAAAAATTCTTGTAGATGAAATAATATCTGGGCCAGGTTTATAAGGAAGGCTTTAAACTGAATCCTGTAAGGATAGAAGTAGAAACCCTGAGATATGCACCACAGATAAACACTTTTATATTTCAGAAATTGAAAGCTGAAATATCATTTTTAAACCATTCTCACAAAAAAGGGAAAGTAAAAAAGAACATGGACTCAGAAGGCATGAACTGTGAATGGTACAATTTGTAAGACAAAATAATAAAAGGGGAGAGAAATTGCACTGTATGATAAAAATATTGATTCTCGGAAATATGCATTAATGAACGTGTAATGCTGTCAAGAGCACTTACATTACAAATAAGAGGAACAAATAAAAGCAATACTGTATTGTCTGTTATCACTTTCCCATCCAAGAAGTGAGTTCTTCCAAGACTAACTTGCAGTTCTTTCAAAAAGCTTTTTTTTTTGTAGCAATGGGAGATTTTAATTGTTCCAACAAGCTAGAGCCAGTTCTATCAAACAGTATCTTTCTAGGAGATTCTTGATTTGTTGACGCTCCTTCAGAGGTTGGAAAACTTTTTGGTTGTTTCTATTGCTTTATTATCTTATTGCTGCTTTGAGATCTACTGATATATAGACTATACATACTTTGTCTTACTGCTAATACATGTGATTATAATTTTGTTATTTCTGTTGCCATAATATACACATATATTGTCTCATTTAAAATAATAACTGATATAATTTCTTTTAGGGTTTTGGGAAGCCTGCTTTCAGCCCACATAATAATTACAGATGCCAGACAGCCTTTTGGTGATATGACTATTAAGGGATATGACGATGAACTGTTGCATATGGCTCATGACTTGGCAGTAAGGTTATTACCTGCTTTTGAGAATACCAAAACTGGAATTCCTTATCCAAGGGTATGTATAGAACAATTGCCAATTTTCAGGCAAAGGAAATTCAGTCTTTTAACCCAAGACGTAACGTGTTAAATATTGGAATTTAACTTTGTCTTTAAAAATGTTCTCTGTGTATACTTTTTCCTCTTAGCGTATCTACAAGCTTAAGCTGAATATGCCACTGCCATTTTTTAAAATATATTTTGGAAAGCAGATTCTGTAGTAGATATGCTGAATGAAATCCTGTTTCCTCAAAGATTTCTGTGTTCTGGTTTCTTGATGGCGAAATACTGACATGCTCTAGATATCCCTTTAAGATCCTTTCCCTGTGGAATATGATGCAAGTTTGTGACAGAGCACTGATGAAACCTCTGTCACTAATTTTGAAATTGCAAAAGAGTAATAGAGCTGCTTATTCCTTAGTAAGCTTGCTTATAAACCGTCATCTTTGCAGGTGAACTTAAAGACAGGAGTTCCTTCTGGGAGCAATAATGAGACTTGCACTGCAGGGGCTGGATCATTACTGGTGGAATTTGGAATTCTTAGTCGGCTTCTTGGGGATTCAACTTTTGAGTGGGTTGCCCGTCGAGCTGTAAAAGCCCTTTGGAACTTAAGGAGCAATGACACTGGATTATTAGGTACTTATCTTTTTCTCCTGGATATAATTTTTTTGGTTTGTGTTCTTGTTCTGATAGCTGATCCTCTGAATTCATATCGTTATGAGAATGGAATCCTTCACCATTGAATTAACTAGATCTCTAGACATTTCCAGTTATTTGGGAATATTTAACCATCACAGCATGTGCTCTCCTTACTCTTATCATTTATATTAGGTTGCAAATAGTTCTAATCAAATGGAACATCTAATCAAGTGGAACAAGTTCATTCCTGTGATTTGTATTTTCCATTTATTTGAGGAGTTTTGGTGCTGTATTTGAGAGTAATTTAGAAACACCTAAAATCCAGCATGCACTCTTCTTTTTTTAAAGCTCCAGAATTACATTACAGAAGTATATTTGTGGATTTATAGAACATGTATGTGTACTTGTTTGAATTGTGAGCCAATATGGTTATTAAGACTGAATCTGATGTTTTTATGAGTCTAATCTTTTCTAGAAAAATTAGATGAGTATCCATTATTTACAAAGGTAAGATAAAATGTTTACATTTAGATATAGTTCATATGTTGTGTGGACATTGAAAAATATAAGTTCATATTGCAATATTGGATACTTTAAAACATAGCATAGCTGAAAAACAACTCAAATGAGTCAACTTCTTTCTCTTATTTGACTTTTGTTGTTGAGAGGCATAAGTAAAAGTTATGTGTAAGTAAATATACTTCAAAAATTAATTTTTATACCTTATGCTAAAGCCTAAAAATTTCAAGATTTCTCTGTTTTTGTTGGAAATTTGAATTCAGAAAGAATCCTTGTTAGAATACATGCTTTTGAATACATTTGAATACTGAGTGATTAAGTAGCAGAAAATTCCATGAAAACGAAAAATATGCTCAACCTACTTGTCTTGGATTCAGAGTTTGTTAATGCTAACAAACCTTCAATATGATACTTCAAAGTAAAACATTTATTACAGAGTATGATTTGTACTTTTTCATATATGTGTAACCTGATTTATACTGTTGAGTTTTATTATGTACTGACCTTCGATGGCAATAAAAATATAATTACTTTTAGAAATACTCAGGGTAGGAAATCCTCTTTCTACTTAAACTATATCTAGTGTAATGACCCAGGGCCCCGAACGGAGGCAAAGCAGTCGGCTGGCAAGAGCAACAGTCTTTTAATCACTGCCAATGTTCATCCAAAAGCTCCCACATATGCTGGCACGAGTTCAAACAATACAGCCAGGGAAGTTTACATTGTTCTCAAGGCAAGACAGAAAACAAGAAAATGTAAAGAGTCCTTTTAACTCTCAACTTAACTGCAGACTGCAAGGAGAGATCAGGAATGTAGTCTGTGGTCGTGAAGCAGGAAACAAACTGGTCCGGAATACAAAGTGTCCAGGTTACAAGAGCACAAGTCACAACAATCTCAAGATCCCGCGTTTGTTCCCGGCAAATGCCCCACCTCACAGCGTCTCCTTAAATCCTAATCCCCAGGTGTGCCTTGTGGAGTGGGACGGGACGCTCTCCTCCCGTTGTTCCCTCCTCCTCTCTGCTCTCCTTGCTCTAGGATCAGGTGGAGGGGGAGGCTTGCTCCTCGCCCGAACTCTGCCTTCCCTGTTCCAAACCTGAAGGGCCCTGGCCTGCCTCAGCCTGCTCCTCCCTACAGTCCTCCGAAGCTACAGACACCCCCTCCTGGGCCTCAATAGAGAACTCCATGTCTTCCTAGGATGGAGGCATGACATCTAGAAAATAAAGAAACATGTGAAACAGTGAGAGTGTTTTCTCTCTCTTAAACACAGACTCATTTAACTAGCAGTATGCCAAATAAGAATTGCTTTTTTATGCTCCTTTGAGACTTGTTTAACTGGATTATGATTCAGTTATGTGCATTTACATTTAAATAATATTTGCCTTTCTCTTACTTCATAGGTAATGTTGTGAATATTCAAACTGGCCATTGGGTAGGAAAACAAAGTGGCTTAGGAGCAGGCTTAGATTCCTTCTATGAGTATCTTTTGAAATCGTACATCCTCTTTGGAGAAAAAGAAGATTTAGAGATGTTCAATGATGCTTATCGGAGTATTCAGAACCACTTAAGGCGAGGGTATGTGAATTATGCTATTTTAACTTATTAAAACACTGTTTAGAGAGCCAGTTTGATGCAGTGGCTAGTCCTGCCTTAGGTACGAACCCAGCTGGGTGGCTTTGAGCTAGTCACTCACATTTGGAAGAAGGTAATCGCAAACAACATGCAAAAATCTTGCCAAGAGAACTGTGAGGACTAGTCAAGTTACTAAGAGCCAACAATAATGATTTGAAGGCAATAAATAAGTCACTACTGAGTGACAGAAAATATGAAATGGATTGATTCCTTCATGTTATAGGTAGTCCTTAAGTTAACCTTTTGTTCAGTGACCAAAGGTACAGTGATATTGACTGAATGGTACTTATATCTAGTCTCCAAAATTATAGATGTTTTAAGCATTCCAGTGGTCACATGATCAAAATTTAGGTGCTTGGCAGCTGCTCACACTTGACAACCACAAAAGTGCTTCAACTCAGCCTCACCTGTCCATCTCCCCCATCTGTGCCTTTTTGGCCCCAACAATCTGTGTCCCCTGCCACCCTGTACTCTTCTGACCCCACTGATCTTTGTCATCTTCTTGCTCCCACTATTGACAAGATGGCCATCATGATCTTTTGCAAGGCAGCTGCTGGCCACCCAAGGCTTTCTTCTTGAGGTTGTACATGGTGGTTTCCTCAACAGATCTCAGGAAAAAGACCTCATGACCTATCACTGCCTCATTAAGGGCCAGATTAGGCATACCCCAGCAGGAGCAGGAATAAGAAGCTGGCAAAGGTCAGCTGGAGTGGGGGAGTACAAGGCAGCTGGGAACTTGGAATGGTGTGGGTGGCTGTAACTGGGCCTGGTTGGGGCTTCTTGAGGTGGCTGCAGCTTCAAACCATGTTACGCTGGAACCAGACTGAGTTGTCTACAGTTCCATGTCATGCTGCTTGGCTAGGTTGGTGCAGCTGCAGCTTCAGGTGACTCAGAGGCTTCTGGCAGGAGCCAAGAAACCACTGAGCTTCAGCATGGCAAACAGCCCAAGAGCCATGTGTTTCTGGACCGGTTTGCCTTCTTGCAAATGGTGGTGGTGGTTGTGGTGGGGAGGATAGGCAGTTGAGGGCGTTGCAGGGGAGGCAGTGCCTCAACTTGTAAGAACCAAAGTTCAGGTTGGGAGGGATCAGGCCAGGGACGGCTTGGATTGGGGTGGGCCCTCAGCTCATGACTGGTAGAATTGGGCTAGTTATGCCAGGATTGCTGCCTCAAAGTGATGCAATCACAAGACATTGAGGTTTATTATATTGCTAAGCAATGAAAATTCTGGTCCCAATTGCTGTGCTAACTCGAGCATTATTTGTATATTACTTCAGTCTTGGTTTCTGAAGAAAATGTATATATTTTAGAATATTTTTTTTAAAAAATTGTGAATTAACTTTTTCTTCCAAACCATATTTTTTTGCCCTTGCCTCTTATTGACATTACTTCCCTACAGTTTTCATAGACATATTACATAATATACGTAATAAAATGTAGCCCACAGTCAGATAAAATTGTCCATATTATATATATACGTAGGTGGTGTACTAATAAGGGTACTTATAATATTTAGTAAGTGTACTAATGTTTGTTGGGCTTTTAATTGTTCCCAATAATTTTTTGCCCTATATCAGGTTACAGTTAAGGTAAATCTCTGGGGTTGGAATGATACTGGATACTATTATACTGTATCTGTAATGCAACATAAACTTTGATTTTAATGATGCTCAATATTTATTACAATTTTTGATATCCCTGCATTGAGTGGTACAGAATTAAAAAAAATATCATTTGATAACTTCTTCAAATTATTGTATATGTATGCATGTTGATATAGTGCTTTGGGTTGATGTCCAGTTACCCAGTTTTCAGAATGGAAATTTAATATCTGTTAGGACTATTTATTACACTAATCACAATAATAGTAATTTAACTTGCCTGCCACCTGACTATCAATGATGCTGGGTGGCTCACACAAATCAAAGAAATTACAATCAAAATAATAAAACATAAAGATGAAGATAATAGTTAGCACTCACAATGAAAGGAGGTCTCTCATTCCTCCTGGGTGATATCTGGGTAATGTTATCTGTAAAGATTGCCTGCCATTTGATTATAGGAACTAAAGTTACGAATAATTCAAATAATTGTTCCTTGCTTCCCCTCAAATATTAATATGAAACATTGCAATCATTTTTCATAGGAGGGAAGCCTGCAATGAAGGTGAAGGAGACCCACCTCTTTATGTTAACGTTAATATGTTTAGTGGCCAACTAATGAATACCTGGATTGATTCTCTTCAAGCTTTTTTTCCTGGACTTCAGGTATTCTTTCTGTGGTGGAGAGAAAATAGGAAATTTGAAATATATGTATGGTAGTACATCAAGAATTCCCAATTGGTATGGAAGTGGCTGGGGATTGATTAGAATAGACTAAAAGCTTGTGTGGGGAAGAGAATCAGAAGCCCATTTCCTTACCTACTACTTCAAAGTCCAAGTTGTCCCTTGGGAATGTCCCACCAAATTCTTTAACTTTGGGGATGCTCCCACCAATGCAAATAAATCATGTTATTGCTTTGTTTATTTACATAAAGAAAACAGCATAGTGCAGTGGTGGCGAACCTATGGCACGCGTGCCAGAGGCGGCACTCTCTGTGGGCATGCGTGCCGTTGCCCCAGCAGAGTTCGCCAGAGTAGCGAGCATGTGGCGTTTGGAAGCGACAGGGCAGGAAGTGAGCGAGCAAGTGGCATTGGCCCCCTGGAGATGGTGAGGGACTGGCCCCGGTCACGCTCACCCAGTCTGCCGTGACCACTGCAGCCACGCCCACCCAGTGGGCCACACACCCCGTCCCCCCTGAGGGCACCACAATGCTGATGTAGCCCTGGCACTTTGCGATAAATAAGTGGGTTTTGGGTTGCAGTTTGGGCATTTGGTCTCTAAAAGGTTTGCCATCAGTGGCATAGTGGATGTCTCAAAGTGTCTGATGGGTACAGTGGTGTTTTCTTGCTTTAGGATGAGATAATTTCTGAGTCACAAGACTATTATGCATTCCATCTTAATAAAATCAGCAAGTATTAAATGTAATGTAGAAAGTTTTATTTTTGTCATTTTGCTTCAGGTTTTAATAGGTGATGTAGAAGATGCCATTTGCCTTCATGCATTTTATTATGCAATATGGAAACGATATGGTGCTCTTCCAGAGAGATACAATTGGCAGTTACAAGCACCCGATGTTCTCTTTTATCCTCTGAGGCCTGAATTAGTAGAATCTACATATCTCCTGTATCAGGTATTTAACTTTTTTTTTCAAAGCATGATTTTGAAATATAGTAAGTCCTTCATTAGATATAAAAGTCTGGCTTATTTTTTTCTGCTGAGATGTGACCTTTTGCACATTTTAGAATTGGTTCTCAGCTGCTGTTTTTTAAAAAATAAGGACTCAAGTCTTTGTTAGATCAGAGTAGACCAACACTTGAAAATAGTGTGTAGAGAATTAGAAAGCTAATTGTAGAAATTTCAGCATGAAGGCTTTCTGTACTGTTAGCTCTGTGATCTTTGGATTACACCCCTTTCCTTCCTGGTTACTGAAAGATGCTAGGGCAGTAACTGGAGGCTAAAGGTGGCTGAGGCAAATATATCCTTGAGTTACGGGGTTTGCCCTAACCTACTGCCCTAAAATAGAAGGTAGTGTAGATACTCAAGTGTGTGGCCCAACTATGTTGAATAATTGTCAACTAGTGTCCACTCTTCTTTTTTTTAGGGAAGATTGCTGAGCAGATTGCAGAAAGTCCTGGATTAGATGGATTATTTTTAGTTGAGATTCAGGCATGGATGTGAAGCTGAAACCATATTCTTTTGATTAACTTTAGTTGGACTAGGGCAGTGTGAATGCAACTCTTCTGATCCTTTTAGCTTTTTCAGTGGTTTTTGATACTACTATATCCTTTTGAACGCCCTTGAACTGAAAGGGTTGGAAGTGGGTAGCGTTCTTTTGCCAAAGATGTTCCAGTGAATCATTTTGGAGGCTGTGTTATGGTATTGTTTATAATCAGTTTGTGCAATTTTCTTGCACAAGCTGAATATATTCTATTGTTTTTTCAGCTTCTTTGAACAGTCTGCACTTCTTCGAATCATTTGGTGACATTCAGTTCTGGCCTCGGATTGCATTAGTTCAGATAGCTTGCTCTTGCACAGCCAAAATCAAACTTCAGTTTCTTTTATTTTTTAATGTTATTATTATCATATAGCATTGTTTCTTGCATTTATTTCCTTTCTTTCATTAGGCCACAAAGAACCCTTTTTATCTTCATGTAGGAATGGATATTCTTCAGAGTCTGGAGAAATATACTAAAGCAAAGTAAGTTTTTATTATAAATTACTAAATCCATACAAAACTGAACTGTGTTGCTGTGATATAATTCAAACATATAGGCCTTCTTAATGTTGACCTACAAATTGAGGTTGAAATCCCATTTGTGCTTGCATAAAATAAGTCCTATTAATTTAATGTTGAGTGAATAGAATTTCATAAGTGTTTTATTAGAAACACTAATAGTGCTTGGAAGTGTGTTTTCAAATAGTTCTAATCATCTAGCTCAGTGTTTCTCAACCTTGACAATTTTAAGGCATGTGGACTTCAACTCCCAGAATTCCACAGCCAGCAATGCTGGCTGTGGAATTCTGGGAGTTGAAGTCCACATGCCTTAAAATTGTCAAGGTTGAGAAACACTGAGCTAGCTATTCAATTATTGGTTGGTTGATTGATTGATTGATTGTATTTTGTTTTGTCTAATCAACATTCCTGAGGCAACTTGAATGTATAGAATAGATCAGTTGCATTGATTAAATTTTCCAGCTGTAACTTTGTGGCTAACTTTGGGCCCTTGGAAATAACTCTGGCTAGAAGTAGTTGACATGGCTGAGTAGGCTATTGCTGTTAATTGCTTTTGAAGCTGAGGAGAGTTCCATGAAAAGTTTAATTTGAAAACTTTTGTGAAAAAAAGTGTTTGAAGAAGAAATATTTTAGTCATACAGTACATAAACCAGTTTTTCCAGTTCTGATCTTCACCTCATAGGAAATAATTCTTCCTTTTTAAAATGTTGTCGAATATAACATGTAAATCTAGCAAACAGTACGTCCCTACACTGGGTTCCTGAACTATTAGGGTTGTTTGCAGCTACTTCTGATGCCTACATTTCACCAGAGAATATGAAGTTTTGTGAGATTTTTGTTCATTTTTTCCCAACTTGGCTAGAAAGTGTTGCTGCCACATAGAGTTGGATTTCTGGGAGAAACAAAATGATGTTTCAGTTGTTGCAGTATCTTTATTCTCAAAAGAGGCAATAATTCTGTTTCTTTTCTTTGTTGCTGTTGAATCTCAAGTCTGACTTTGTAAAATTATAGATTCAGAGGTAACTGGAGAAAAGCTATGCCACTCAAATTGCAAGCTCTTCATAAAATGACCAGCTTAATTCCTTAGACTTTTGCTATGTTTAAAATTATGATTGAAGCTAAAAAAGGAGATGAAAAACATTCAATTCTGTTTTTCAGATGTGGTTATGCTACTCTTCACCATGTTATAGAGAAATCCAAAGAAGATCGGATGGAAAGTTTTTTTCTCAGTGAAACATGTAAATATTTGTTTTTGGTATGTATCTTTATAGAAGCACTTTTTCTTTAAAACACACTTTATTTACTAGAACTGCAATTTGTAACATATTTTTGTTGTAGTAAAATAAATTGTAATATTTCTGTGTATTTTAAATATGTTGTTATTAAGATGGTAAACCAAGAATGTGCATCGTAAGTACTTTAAGGGAACTTTGCTGTGATGTACACTGTTACTTGATGTATAGTCCCTCCATTCAACAACCAGTGAACTACACAACTGATCAATGCCCTGTGCATCCCATATCTGAAACTGTATCCCAATTGCAGAGGATCCAGATAATTTGTTTTCTACAAGACCTCAACACCTGCCTTCTACCCATTTTCTCTAAAACCTTTCCTAAAAAGGGAAGGTTGACATGGTTGAATAGAGAGATGACTCTTCAAATAGGGACATACCTTCTAACGAATCCAGCAATCACAACATCCTTGCTGCCTGAAAAAAACACAGAGTGCAAGGATCCAAGTGGCTGAGATCACAGTGGAGAATTCTCTTCAACAGGTTCCTTGAAACCTGGTCACCTCGCAAGAATCTGCCTGAATTACTTACTTGACTTAGAATTATACTAACAATAATAATATAATAATATTTCAACATACTCATAAAGAATATATATCAAGTAATAGTGTATATCTATTTTTTTAGATTACTCCATAATATTTGATCCAATATTGGCACTATCTCTAGTGTTAATGTTTTTTTTTATAAAACCTCTGGGAAAAGTAAACTCTTTATTTGGGGGTGAGGTCCCATGAATATGAAGATACCTATATCTATTCTTAAGCTTAACAGTTGCTAAGGTTATTCTGCCCCAGAGGCTATAAAGTTCTGGATGGGACAAACCATGCTGCAGTGGAATCCCAGTAACAGCACAAACTGCTTGTTTGTCTAGAAAGCAGCTGGTTGTAACAAACTGAGAGCAGGAAGTGGCTTTGAAAATAGGTAGTTTCAGTACCTTCTCTCTCTCTGGGGAATATGCTGGCTCCTGTATTATGCATTGCATCTGCAGCCCTATCTTTTCACAGAGCAACCCAAAAAATCTTTGAAAGAACACTTGGAGGTAAAGAGCCATTTTGTATATTGTTTTTAACTCCAGTTTTTTTTATATTATTATTATTATTATTATTATTATTATTATTATTATTATTATTATTATTATTATTATTATTATTATTATTATTATTATTATTATTATTATTATGTTTTGATTTCCTACAGTCTCTGGAGTGAAGTGAGATATAAATATTGAAAAATAAATAATATTATTGCCACACTTGGGGTATTACATTTATACATTCTGAAATTCTTAAATTTCAGCTATTTGATGAAGAAAATCCTGTGCACAAATCAGGCAATAAGTACATGTTTACCACAGAAGGACACATAGTATCACTGGATAAGCGCCTTCGTGTTTCAGTAGGGCAGAATACCTCCCCTGAGCAGCAGAAGAAACCTGGAAAGATAAAGTCAAATGAACTAAAAGCAAACAATTCCATCTCTAATGTAAGTATAGGCCAGTATCTTACATACTTTGAATCTAGAAATTTGGTACAGCAGTTGTCTGACAAACCCTTTAATAGGCCTAAATATATTCTCTCTCTGCCATTGATCGGGCCAGAAACAGTGTGAAAGAGTTAGGATTAGAAAGAACAGGATAATAAAATCACAAATTGATGGAATTGTGAGGGTATACTTAAAACCTAGTTCTTCGCAGAATTAAGACAAGATAGTAGATCACCTAGTTCCATCTTTATCTGTACTATATATGGTGTTCAAGCCAGAGGGGTTTAGCGGTTAGACATCAACCAGAAGCTCATTGGTTGACTTGGAGCTAATCTTTCTAACCCACTTCACGAGGTAGTTATTGTAGGAAACGCTACATATTCTGCCTTGATTTTGTGAATAAAAAACACACTTCACCAAGGTGTGTTAAGTAAGTTATATGAATTAATTTTGCTTATTGGCCTAAGTAGGTTTTCCATTATTTTAGTGTACAAATTCAACACTGTGCATGCTTTGAGATTATTTAAGATTCTGGATATACAGCAGTCTTTTGCTCTTTTTAAAGTGACCCGAATTTTTTCACACTTGTGGAAATTTGCAAAAAGAGGCTGCTTTAATGAATAGCAAAGAAGAGGAGTATTTGCATGAAGGGGGAAGTACTCCTTTGGAATCATTCTTAAAGCATGCATAGTTCCAATATTTCCAATATTATTTCTGCTTGAAATACCTGCAGTATTCATGTTCATGGGGCAGTCTGAGCTACACAATCCTATCCTGAGGACTGTAGTTGCAAATCTCCAGTTTGCAAGATTGAAAGGGAGGCACTATGTATGTTCTCCCTATCTCTATTTTCATTAATTAATTTTCAATTACTATTCTTTTCTTTCACATTTTTTGGGAGTTCGACTCCCAATACAGTGCTCAAAACACTAAAGCAATTTTTTCCCTGACTAAAGTTAATATCTTAATGTAAATACAAAAAATGCATTCAGCTATTTTCTAGTTGGTTTTCAAATATAATTTTTGTTTAGCAAAGTGGGGAACACATACACTTTTCAGGAGAGAATATCTGTACAAGGGTAGGTATAAAGCAGATTAGTCAGGATGATATTGTATTCAACCAAATACATCCATGTTTAACTATTTTCTTTCTATATTGATATATAACTAATAAGCAGTACAGGTATATAGAATTGATTATTTGCTCTAGATCATTTCAGTTAAATAACATTTATTCCTTGTGAAAGTCAGAATAATTCATTTTGTGTTGTTTCAGAGGTAAACCTTTCAGTATTGTGGACTATTTTCCTGATCTATTTCTAAAGATGCAGGTTTCTAACCTGAAAACGTAAAATATCTGCACTTTTGTAAGTTTTGGACACAAAACCTAATGACAAGCAGTACTTGAGTGTCTTGACTTTTTTTAGGTAGATTCTTTTTGGTTTTGCCAAAGTGAACTTTAGAAAATGTAAATATCTCCAATTTCAACTTAAAAATCTCTATTTACAGTGTAACAGAGTACCAGATGAGAGAAGATACCTGCTGCCTTTGAAGAGCATTTATATGAGACAGATAGATCAGATGGTGGGTTTGATCTGAATAGCTGTGAAATAATCCTAAGAAGATGCAAGACAACATCTCATTAAAAGATTATGATCCTCTTGAACTACAAGGCTAACAGCAAATGCAGGTGCTTAATTAGTCACTCATTGGAATGAGAGTTTGATCTCATGTTGAAAAGAGCATTCCATGTTAGACTGCAGTTATTGTAACTGAAATGGAGTAAAACATGGCATAATGCAAACTTAAGATCTCATGCATCAAACTTCAGAGCTCATATTGCTGATAGTTAAAGTTAAGGTTGCATTAGTGGCTTGCACCTGAAATGGCGCCCTGCTATCACTTATTTGTCTCCCGAAAGAGAACATTGGGGAAAAACTTGCAATTTAAAATATATTTCTTTAAAAAAAAATGGTGGTCAGAGGAGGAAAAGGGAATGTGCAATTGCTNCGCAGGAAATATCCGGGCCCAAGTTGTCCGCTGCAAGGACACCCCGCCCACGGCAGCGCCGCCAAACCGCTTTCTATGCCGCTGGCGTCCCCGGGCTGGAGCCGTGAAAGCCGGTCCAGCAGAACCGGGCCGCGGAGGCCAAGCCTTGCTTACCAGCAACACTGGAGCTTCTCACGTCGACTGGTAGGTTTTCCGTGCCCCTCCGCTCGGACCGCCGGCTTCTTGCTACTGGGCTGTCTCCCTCCGGAACTGTTTCCCCCCCTCCCGTCTATGTCGACCCCTTAGTTCCTTAGTTGACCCGAGTATAAGCCGAGGGGGGCATTTTTCAGCCCCAAAAATGGGCTGAAAACCTCGGCTTATACTCGAGTATATACGGTACTTGACTTAGAATTATACTAACAATAATAATATAATAATATTTCAACATACTCATAAAGAATATATATCAAGTAATAGTGTATATCTATTTTTTTAGATTACTCCATAATACTTGATCCAATATTGGCACTATCTCTAGTGTTAATGTTTTTTTTATAAAACCTCTGGGAAAAGTAAACTCTTTATTTGGGGGTGAGGTCCCATGAATATGAAGATACCTATATCTATTCTTAAGCTTAACAGTTGCTAAGGTTATTCTGCCCCAGAGGCTATAAAGTTCTGGATGGGACAAACCATGCTGCAGTGAAATCCCAGTAACAGCACAAACTGCTTGTTTGTCTAGAAAGCAGCTGGTTGTAACAAACTGAGAGCAGGAAGTGGCTTTGAAAATAGGTAGTTTCAGTACCTTCTCTCTCTCTGGGGAATATGCTGGCTCCTGTATTATGCATTGCATCTGCAGCCCTATCTTTTCACAGAGCAACCCAAAAAATCTTTGAAAGAACACTTGGAGGTAAAGAGCCATTTTTTATATTGTTTTTAACTCCAGTTTTTTTTATATTATTATTATTATTATTATTATTATTATTATTATTATTATTATTATTATTATTATTATTATTATTATTATTATTATTATTATTATTATTATTATTATGTTTTGATTTCCTACAGTCTCTGGAGTGAAGTGAGATATAAATATTGAAAAATAAATAATATTATTGCCACACTTGGGGTATATTACATTTATACATTCTGAAATTCTTAAATTTCAGCTATTTGATGAAGAAAATCCTGTGCACAAATCAGGCAATAAGTACATGTTTACCACAGAAGGACACATAGTATCACTGGATAAGCGCCTTCGTGTTTCAGTAGGGCAGAATAACTCCCCTGAGCAGCAGAAGAAACCTGGAAAGATAAAGTCAAATGAACTAAAAGCAAACAACTCCATCTCTAATGTAAGTATAGGCCAGTATCTTACATACTTTGAATCTAGAAATTTGGTACAGCAGTTGTCTGACAAACCCTTTAATAGGCCTAAATATATTCTCTCTCTGCCATTGATCGGGCCAGAAACGGTGTGAAAGAGTTAGGATTAGAAAGAACAGGATAATAAAATCACAAATTGATGGAATTGTGAGGGTATACTTAAAACCTAGTTCTTCGCAGAATTAAGACAAGATAGTAGATCACCTAGTGTTCCATCTTTATCTGTACTATATATGGTGTTCAAGTCAGAGGGGTTTAGCGGTTAGACATCAACCAGAAGCTCATTGGTTGACTTGGAGCTAATCTTTCTAACCCACTTCACGAGGTAGTTATTGTAGGAAACGCTACATATTCTGCCTTGATTTTGTGAATAAAAAACACACTTCTCCAAGGTGTGTTAAGTAAGTTATATGAATTAATTTTGCTTATTGGCCTAAGTAGGTTTTCCATTATTTTAGTGTACAAATTCAACACTGTGCATGCTTTGAGAATATTTAAGATTCTGGATATACAGCAGCCTTTTGCTCTTTTTAAAGTGACCCGAATTTTTTCACACTTGTGGAAATTTGCAAAAAGAGGCTGCTTTAATGAATAGCAAAGAAGAGGAGTATTTGCATGAAGGGGGAAGTACTCCTTTGGAATCATTCTTAAAGCATGCATAGTTCCAATATTTCCAATATTATTTCCGCTTGAAATACCTGCAGTATTCATGTTCATGGGGCAATTGATGGGGCAGTCTGAGCTACACAATCCTATCCTGAGGACTGTAGTTGCAAATCTCCAGTTTGCAAGACTGAAAGGGAGGCACTATGTATTTTCTCCCTATCTCTCTTTATTTTCATTAATTAATTTTCAATTACTATTCTTTTCTTTCACATTTTTTGGGAGTTCGACTCCCAATACAGTGCTCAAAACGCTAAAGCAATTTTTTCCCTGACTAAAGTTAATATCTTAATGTAAATACAAAAAATGCATTCAGCTATTTTCTAGTTGGTTTTCAAATATAATTTTTGTTTAGCAAAGTGGGGAACACATACACTTTTCAGGAGAGAATTAATATCTGTACAAGGGTAGGTATAAAGCAGATTGGTCAGGATGATATTGTATTCAACCAAATACATCCATGTTTAACTATTTTCTTTCTATATTGATATATAACTAATAAGCAGTACAGGTATATAGAATTGATTATTTGCTCTAGATCATTTCAGTTAAATAACATTTATTCCTTGTGAAAGTCAGAATAATTCATTTTGTGTTGTTTCAGAGGTAAACCTTTCAGTATTGTGGACTATTTTCCTGATCTATTTCTAAAGATGCAGGTTTCTAACCTGAAAACGTAAAATATCTGCACTTTTGTAAGTTTTGGACACAAAACCTAATGACAAGCAGTACTTGACTTTTTTTAGGTAGATTCTTTTTGGTTTTGCCAAAGTGAACTTTAGAAAATGTGAATATCTCCAATTTCAACTTAAAAATCTCTATTTACAGTGTAACAGAGTACCAGATGAGAGAAGATACCTGCTGCCTTTGAAGAGCATTTATATGAGACAGATAGATCAGATGGTGGGTTTGATCTGAATAGCTGTGAAATAATCCTAAGAAGATGCAAGACAACATCTCATTAAAAGATTATGATCCTCTTGAACTACAAGGCTAACAGCAAATGCAGGTGCTTAATTAGTCACTCATTGGAATGAGAGTTTGATCTCATGTTGAAAAGAGCATTCCATGTTAGACTGCAGTTATTGTAACTGAAATGGAGTAAAACATGGCATAATGCAAACTTAACATCTCATGCATCAAACTTCAGAGCTCATATTGCTGATAGTTAAAGTTAAGGTTGCATTAGTGGCTTGCACCTGAAATGGCGCCCTGCTATCACTTATTTGTCTCCCGAAAGAGAACATTGGGGAAAAACTTGCAATTTAAAATATATTTCTTTAAAAAAAAATGGTGGTCAGAGGAGGAAAAGGGAATGTGCAATTGCTTCCACCAAGTTGAAAGGTTTCACAAGCAATAAATAGTACTAATTATTGCTCAGGTAGAAAAATGGCTATAGGTTCTGGTTTACCTAAAATATTTTGCTGACTATATTATAATTGAAGCGCAGCTTGCATACCAACCAAGCTATTGCAGAACTATGTTCAGGACTAACATCATATTGGTTGATGTTGCAAACAGTGTTCTTAATTTGAATTGCACATCTAAGGGTGTATGGAGTTTACTAGTTTCTGAAACCGGTATTTTTCTTTTTCTTTTTTTTTTCTTTTAATGTGCCTTCTGGTAGATAAAAAATGCAAAAAAAAGGCATTCAGTTTTGCTCACTGAGTGGCCTTGTGTTGCTGATTTGAAGAATCTTGCTATGTTTTTATGTTTTGTATTTATCTATTCTTTCATGCCTTTCCTAGAAATCAGTCTGAATTAATGCAAAATTGAAGTATTCACATTCCATGCAGTCCTAATATGCAAGCTATTGGAATTAGTGCCTTGTTACTTTATGACTCAGAACAGAACTGAAGAGTTTAGCTCAGTCTTTCCTAAAGTAATTTTAGATTTATTGTATTCTGAAACTTAATTAGCTTCAGAAAGAACATTTGGGAGTTCTATACTTTTCAGACTCACTTTGAACTGAGTATTTTACATATGGTTGCAACCTTTACTCTGGACAAGTATTTTTAATTTGGAGGACATGAAGAGGAACCAATTCTGTAAGAGGTTCTAACCTTTAATTTCAACTTTAATAATTTTGACAAGTTTTCATTTGTCTGAAGGTGATTGTATTGGTGAGTCATTTTTAAGAAGGTTGGGCAGAAAGAACCAAAATGTCTGTAACCACAGGCTTTATGTATTTCTGAGGAGTAAAATATCTCATGTTCTCCACCAACATCCCCAAATTATTCTCAGTGGCTAGGAGAGTTAAAAGTATCTACCTTCCTACAATTATCGAACATAGCTTTAACATTCTTGAGGATTATCTCTCGGTAGACTGAAGCATGATTAATATTATTTCTCATCAAAGGATAAAGTTGGCTTAAATTCCTAATCAGAAGCAACATCACTTAGATCAGTGTTTCTCAACCTTGACAATTTTAAGGCATGTAGACTTCAACTCCCAGAATTCCACAGCCAGCAATGCTGGCTGTGGAATTCTGGGAGTTGAAGTCCACATGCCTTAAAATTGTCAAGGTTGAGAAACACTGACTTAGATCACAACTTAAATATTCTGCAACATGTACATATTCTTTTTACTACATAGTGCAATTTTATTCCCTATAAAGTATGTTTTGTGTTATAAATCACATTTTAAGTTAATCAGATAACATTGCAAATAATTAGGCTTTGCTAAATCTCTTTGGCAAACAATAAATCTCAGGGATCTCAAAGTAGGGTTTGCCTAATAGATTTTGTTTGTCCCTAAAAGTTCTTTTCCTGTTTCACAATTGCTATTTTTTTTTAAAGTAGGCAGATCAGAATCCACAGAACAGTCTCTGTGACTGAGCCTAGATCTAAATTGTTTC